CGGGTCCGGGACTCGAACCGCGGTCGACTACATGGGAGTCCAGCGACATAGCCATTACGCTGACTGCTGGTCCCTAGAATGTATTGTTTAATTTCTACATTTTTAAATAATTTCTCAGTTTCCTTTTTTTATTTCTAATTTCATTCTTTTATGGTTAGAGAACATATTTTGTGAGACTTCAATCCTTTTAAATTTACTGAAGCTTGTTCTATGATCTTACATTTGGTCGTTCCAGGACAATGTTTCATATGCACTTGAAAGAATGTGTATCCTGCTGTTGCTGGGGGTGGTATCCTAAAGATGTGTGTAGGTCTAGATGACTTATACTGTTCTTCATGTCTTCCTTTTTTTTGTACACATCTTTTTATTGACAACTGGTTTTCAACCTAGTTGTCCTATCAGTTATTGAAAGTGGGGATTAAAGTCTGAAATTCTTAGTGTTGAATTTTTCTATTTCTCCCTTAACTCTGTCAGATTTTGTTTCATGTGTTTTAGGTTCTTGTTGTTAGATACATGTATTTAAAATGATTAAATCTTCATTAGTGATACTTTTATCAATCAAAATAAAATGTTTTCTTTTGTCTTTACTAACACTTTTTGTCTTAAGATCTATTTTGTCTAATATCAGTACAGTCATTTCAGTTGTCTTTTGTATATAGTCTACATGGTCCTTTACCTTTCAACCAGTTTGTGCTCTAAGGAAAAACAATTGAGGTTTTTGCTACAGGGTGCATGCGCTTGCCAGAAACACAGAGAGAGACAGAGATAGAGAAAGCGAGAAGGGGGGATGGCCCCATGCCCCAGGGGGGATGGCCACGCCGCAATTCCTTTTCCTTCATTCTCCTCTTGGGATCTCGAGCATGCACCCACATGCACCCAGCGTGAGTTTAAGCCACTGGGTCTGGGACTAGAACCATGGTCAACTACATGGGAGTCCAGTGACATAGCCACTACTCTAACTGCTGGTCCCTTCATAGTATATTTTAATTCCAGATTTTAAAATGCATCAAATGATGGCTTTTAAATTCATTTAACATATTTAAATGAAGGCAACATCAAGAAAATAAAATGAATTATTTCTCCTCAACACTTAAGCAGACCTTGATTTAACTAGCAAAGATTTATTCTCTAAGAGCAAATCTAAAGTCTTCATTACCTTCTAAATGTTCACAAATTTGTTTCTCAAACCAGCAGGGGAAAGAAATTCTGAAGCACAAAACACTGCTCAGAAAGTACTATACCATGTCTCCAAATCCCTGAGAATCAAGTTGGAAAACAAGAAGCAACAGAAAACACTATAAGGTAACTGACTTCATTTGGTGAAAGTCACTTCCTACGTCTACAAAGTATTGATGCCTAGATATAGGACACATGGGTGCAGGTGTAGTTAGTTGGTTATTTTATTTTCTAGCCAAGTACTGGCCAACAGAAATATAATGTGAGCCACAAATACTAATCGCATATGCAATTTTAAAGTTTCTAGTGGCCATATTTTAACAAAAAGAAACAGGTGAGATTATTAGTAGGTTTAATAATGTAATTTTTTAATTAATATATCTTATTTAACTTAATATAGTATCATTTGTACATATGGTCAACATAAAAGTAGTATTATTAATGTTCCTAGTAAGTCTTTAAAATTCAGTGTGTATTTTATACTTAAAGCATATCTCAATTCATACTAGAAACATTTCAAATGATCAACAGCCATAATGGCCAATGCCTACCATATTGAAAAGAACAAACTACAGCAATGAAAGTGCAACAGTAGCATTTAAAGTTGAAAATGGCCTTTAAAATATCTATGATCTTATCCACAATTCTTGTGTATTGCTAAAACATAATTGCTTACACAACAAGAGGATTAAAATATAATAATCTAACAGGTAGATGTGCAATCAGAATGAAATTTACAAATGTTAGAGGTTTCAATCTGCATTACTGATGACAGTCAACATTTACTAAGCATTTACTTTGTGTCAGGCACTAGACCAAGTACTTTAATAAGCAGTAAAAAGTACTTTTGTCATCTCCACTTTATAGAAGATAAAACTGGGGCTGAGAAAGGTTAATTTGGGCAAGATCATGCAACAGGAGGTTGCATATGACCTGGCTCTGGTGCCTCTGCTCCTAGTCTCCAAACTCTACCGCCTCCCTAAAATGAATCTATCCACTTGCATATAATCAGTAAACTCCAAATATAAAACTAGGAGAGAAAAAAAACTAACTCAAAATTTCCCCTACCTGGGTTTAACTCAGTGATTTGTTGGGGATCTACTGTATATCTTTAAGAAGTATTAGGGTCTCAATTGTCCCTGGCTGGAATGCTGACTTTAACAGATTGCTTCAGTCAGCTTTTTTTTTTGGAGAGGTTTTTGCTATAGGGCGGGTGCGCTCGCCAGACAGAGAGAGAGAGACAGAGAGATAGAAAGCGAGAAATCACCCTCCAGGGGGATGGCCACGCCACAATCCCTTCTCCTCCATTCTCCTCTCGGGATCTTGGGCACACACACACATATGCGCCCGGCATAAGTTTAAGCTACCGGGTCCGGGACTCGAACCCCGGTCGACTATGTGGGAGTCCAGCGACATAGCCATTATGCTAACTGCTGGTCCCACTTCAGTCAGCTTCTGATAAAAAGCAGCTGAGAAAATGTGAATAGTTCACATTTTCAGTAACAAACTTTTTAACAGTTCCCATCTCTTTTGCTGGCTTTTACCCAAGCAGTAGGTAGCATTATTATTGATAGTAAAATATATTATTTACCAGTCAAGTGTCTACTGAATATCAGTAATTATTCCACAGACTGTTTCACTCTGCACAATCAGGAATTAACAGGAGATACAGAAATATATCATACACACATATATAATGTGGTTTTCTATGTTTTTCTGGGTAAAAATGAGTCATGACTTTCCAGACAACCTAGTATCTACAGGATTATTGGAAAAGTCATAGTGCATTTTTGTATAGAAAAATACATCATGACTTTTCCAACAACCCAATATATACTCAACTATGCAACCAACTATGCATCACAAGTAGCTTTAAGAGTAATTAGTTATGAAGGTCTAACTCATTTAAACCCAAAGCCCATCTACCTAATAATAGCTGGCAATTGTAATGATTAACTACTCTGCATACACTATACTATGTGAATTTACAGTTATCCTAATTCCACAGCACCCCTATGAAGAATTATTATTCTCATTTTATACCAATGTTCTTTCTCATTGTACCACGTTAATAATTAATACAAACAGCTGTAAATGACACTATCATCTTACAATTGTGTAGTTATAGATAACAACACTTTCATTTATATCATCTAAATTGACCCTCATCATAAATTATGCTATCTAGAGTACACATGGTTACAACTACCAGGACTAGTAGTAGTCCTGGCACAACTTTTAAAAGAATTAGATTGGTCATTTGGAACCCTGGGACAACATATAAAAGAATTAGATTGGTCATTTGAAGGAATCTTACTTTATTTGTACTTGGTACCCTATAAACCACAAACAGTTTTCTATTCCTCCATTTTATTTCCATAAAACCGAGAGCGGCAGCAGTTGTTTGATGCTCTACTGTTAAGGAGTCTTGCCTCCCATGAGTATCATGAGTACTCAACATCTTCTGACACACATCCCATCCTAAACTACCCAGATTTCATGTGCCAGTTGAGAAGATTCCAATCTTCCTTTCCTCAAACCTCACTCCTTTTTCCAAGGAGTTGTAAATGCTTTAAGCAAATATGCTTCCAGTATTTAATGGAGGTGCTGTCAAATCTAATAGCTGGAAGGGAAAGGTATCCAGAGTTAGCCATTCAGAGTTCATCTCCCCAAAGCAATGACAGATAATGGGGAGTAAGACTCAGTTTTCTATCCTGCCATTTCATTTCCAATTGTAATTTAAATGCTAGAACTTTTGTAATTAATAACACAAGGGGCCTCCAAAAGGTTTATGGAAAAATGCATATTCTGAAAACTATGCATGGATTTCAACACTTCTTTGCACCAAAATAAATTCACACTTTAACTTTATTTTTCCACAAGTTCTTGATATTCCTTCATGATTTTCTCATTTTTTCCATTTTATAGAACAACTGAAGCTTAGTAAAATAAATACTCAAGGTCACACAACCAGTAAGACTACAGATCAAAATCACTAGATAAGTTCAAGGCTCTTTACCTTTTACCAATGATCTATTTGAGAAATAAATTAATCTATAATCCTGTAGGCTGCCTTTATACAATATCTGAGTTATTTCCTTATAGGAAAATATTAGGTCATCGGGAAAGTCATGGCATACTTTTCTAAGTTTTTCTTTGCAAAAATTCATGTCATGACTTTCCCAATGACCCAACAGTACTCATAAAACAAACAGGACTTCCTCTATGGGAAGTGGGCCTCAAAATGAAGTATATCTCCTAAAAGGCTGAGCAAAATGGCAAGCTGGCTGTTGAAAATACAGTCCTCACCAAGTAGGCTTGCTGGACACCAGAACTTGCTGGGCATCTGCTATTTATTTCAAGTTTACCAGGATTTCTCCCATCTAAGGATTTCTTCATTCATTAGCCTTAAAAAAAAAAAAAAAAACTTTTTTCTCTCTGGATTGGGTATTTGTTTTTCTCATTTTTTCCATTTTATAGAACAACTGAAGCTTAGTAAAATAAATACTCAAGGTCACACAACCAGTAAGACTACAGATCAAAATCACTAGATAAGTTCAAGGCTCTTTACCTTTTACCAATGATCTATTTGAGAAATAAATTAATCTATAATCCTGTAGGCTGCCTTTATACAATATCTGAGTTATTTCCTTATAGGAAAATATTAGGTCATCGGGAAAGTCATGGCATACTTTTCTAAGTTTTTCTTTGCAAAAATTCATGTCATGACTTTCCCAATGACCCAACAGTACTCATAAAACAAACAGGACTTCCTCTATGGGAAGTGGGCCTCAAAATGAAGTATATCTCCTAAAAGGCTGAGCAAAATGGCAAGCTGGCTGTTGAAAATACAGTCCTCACCAAGTAGGCTTGCTGGACACCAGAACTTGCTGGGCATCTGCTATTTATTTCAAGTTTACCAGGATTTCTCCCATCTAAGGATTTCTTCATTCATTAGCCTTAAAAAAAAAAAAAAAAACTTTTTTCTCTCTGGATTGGGTATTTGTAATGTTAAAATAAGGCTGAACTCCTGATTCCATGTTCTAGCAGTTGATGTCACCACTAATACAAAATTGTTTTGTTTCCAGTCTGAAATAAATTTATGCTCTTATCAAAAACAAGTTCTTTATTTGAACAAATTCCAACTGATTCCTATTGTTTAATAATTACTAACCTATATATGTAATCTACATATTCATTGCCAATAAACACACATACCATGGCAGATGTTAAAAAGTAAGAGGGATCAGGTCATACCTTGAGCAAGCCTCTCTGGCAGTTCATCTTATTCAACTATTACTCTAGTAATTAAAAATCATTGCTTTGGTATGTGATTCCTAAAGTCTTGACAGTCTTGGGTGAGAAAGAAGTCTCCTCAGATCCTCACCTACAAAGATAAGTAAATTAAAATTAAAATCAAACGAAAGTAAGCCCCAAATTAATGTACACAGATGTCTGGTTTGGAAGAAATAATTTGGTATATGAATGAAAAATCATCACATCTAAGAATTAATTCTACAAAGACAGGTCAACGAGTCTCCTGTAGAAAACTCTACCACTGTCCCAGCTAAAACTGTCTGAGGAATTTTCTCTAGCAATCAATTAGTTTTGTTTTGTTTTGAAGTATCTTAGCTGTACATCATAATTGCATGTGGATCCCAGATCCTCAAGTTCAGATTCCGGGTGATTCCAATGTACCGCCAAGTTTTTAATTATCTAAGAGCAAACAAATGTTTAAGCCTCAAAGAGCATGTACAGCAGAGTAGCCAACGGGAAATTAAATTCCCTAAATACCATGAGCTGCCAGAGATGTCGAACTGCTCTCCATCTCGCCCAGTGTGGGCCTGCCTCACTAGGAATGTAGTGTCCTTATGAGGCAAAAGTTGTGCCATTTTCTTCCACGATCAACCTGAGCCCAACGCAGTGAACACAGGAGGTCTCAAGAGGCCCTCAGATCGCTGCACTCTTGGCCTTTGGCAGCTGCAGCAGAAAAGGGAGATTGTGGGTATTGTCTCCGCGTTCTAGTGCTGCAATCGAAATCAGGTCTCTGGGCCTCTTGGTCCCTGTGGGAATCAATGCACACTTACTGGGAAATCGGAGACCAGCCCTAGAGACCAGTGCTGCTTTAGGAAGGTGGGTTTCTCTCTGGACTTTCTACCATTGAGCGAACAAGACCCCAAAACATGGGATTCAAGAGAATTGTCGCGAATTCTGGGGCGCGAGCAAAGGGTAGCATGTGGACATCCAAGGATGACCGCGGGCTGGGGAAGGGCTTCCTGGAGGGATAGCTCTGGGCTGTGTAAACCCTCTTCCGGGCAAGCCCAAGGTGTGAGTCACTGGGGAGGTCGGTGGGAGGAAGGGGCGGCCTGACTCATAACCCCGGGGGAGGTCGGAGGGTCTGACAGATCGAGGGGTCGTCCTCTAGAGGACGGAGTGGAAAGTTGAGTGGAAAGAGGGTTTCAAAGGGGCTTCCTTCCAGGAGATGGGGGTCTAGCATCCTTAGGGGCCAAAGGACCGAGCGGGAAAAGCTGAAGACTACCGAAGAGGAGGCCCGCCAGTCCGAGGCGCCGAAATCTCCCGCGCTCTGGAGCTGGCCCCTCCTCCTCAGACGGGCCTCACGCCCCTCTCCTCAACCAGGCCCGCCGTCCGCTCC